ATACCTTTAGGAGACATGTGCCATATTAGCTGTAATGTCACATTTATCAAATCTGTATGTAGTTAAGTTGAAATCATAAATTATGAAAAAAAAAAATCTGGTAAAGAATTCAAAGACAATGAAATTAGATTTTTAAAAAAGATATTTTAAAATTTGGAATGTGAAATATATCAATAATTTGCTAAGCAAACTTTTAGTCATTTTAATTATATTCTTTTCAAGTAAGGAGAAAATTAGCTGCTGAATTGACTTTTTATAGAATCTAATAAAATTCAATACAGTGAAATTCACTCTTTTTGGTGCACAGTCCTATTACTTTGACAAATGTACAATGTGTGTAACCAGCACCGCAATCAAGAACAGTTTCATCAAAAAAAATTCCCTTGTGCTGCCCTTCGTTGTCAACTCCTCTCTACTCCCAGGACCCGAGAACTACTGAATTTTTTATATCCTTATAATATTGCCTTTACCAGAATGTCGCCTAAATGGAATTATGCATATGCAGCCTTTTGAGTCTGGCTTCCTTCACTTAGCATAATGCCTTTGAGGTTCATCTGTTTCAGTAGTTTCTTTCTTTTTTTTTTTTTTGAGGAAGATTAGCCCTGAGCTAACTGCTGCCAATCTTCCTCTTATCACTGAGGAAGACTGGTCCTGAGCTAACATCTGTGTCCATCTTCCTCTACTTTATATGTGGGACGCCTGCCACAGCATGACTTGCCAAGTGGTGCAATGTCCACCCAGGATCCGAACCTGCGAACCCCGGAATGTGCGCACTTAACCGCTGCACCACCGGGCTGGCCCCTCTTTTTACTCTTGAGTAATGTATTATGTACATTAGCTTAATTGTTTCAAGTTTTTTGCAATTATTGCTTTCCACTTGTTTCTCTACTCTTTTTAACCTTCTTTACTCACTTTTCTTCTCTGAAACATGTAATAGCAATTACATAGTTGTAGCAAATCATTAATTAATTAGTTAATCTAACACATTTTTGTGACTGCCTACGCAGTTGTGTTGATTGTCTACAAAGTGGCAGGAATTATTCTAGATATTAGGGATTCACCAGTTGAATGAAACATACAAACATCTTTGCCCTAATGTAACTATGGCTTCAAACATTAAAATTAATAAGTTCTGTTATCATAATAAATCATCATACATGTACAGATTACTTATCTTAAAGACTTTTGTGATTTAGACAATTTTTTTTTTTGCTGTTCAGCCTGATTATTTTTAGTCATTATTCAGGGGGAAAAGAAGGCAATCTCCTGAAGTTAATTGGAAACACTAAAGATGCTTAGTGCAGAATACAGAATATGTTTGTTCTGTTTTTAATGGTAGTAGTTTCTAATAAATTACTCAGGACAAAGTTTCCTTCTCAGTCCTGTTTTCTCCGTGCAAACATAGTTTCTAATATAAGTCTCTTGTTATGCCAGGAATTTTGTTTTCATTTCTGCTTGATAGTCTCGGTTTTCTCAAGAAGATACACGTAGATTAATTGGTAGGGTCCCGAAGAACAGTCATTCTGTGTGCTGCCCTCATCAGTGAAACATCATACTGTTCTGCTGTCGAGGGATCTGGTCCAAAAGGGTTTTTAAGGAGTAGAGAAAGTAAGAGACAGAAAAGGAGAAAACCAAGGTTGAACCTAGAGGCTATGAGAATGCTTTTAGGAATTAGAATTACAGGTGGTCTGGAAACCTGATACATGTATGGACGTCTAACTTTTCAACCACGTGAAAGACTCAGTAGAAGTCGAATGAAAGTTGGACGCTGGTTGCGTGCTTTGGGCGCACTCTCCTTTGGACAGCCCTGCAGGATAACCCGAAGGTGAAGAATGTTTGAAACAGATATATGTTACATCAGCCTTTAATAAGGAGAATGTATTAAGCTGATGTTTCCCTGTCAAATTTTAGACATAACTAATCTGTTTATAAATTTCTATAAAATCTCTCTCTATGATAATGTCTCTGTTAATATGAAAAAATGAAATATATAGCCAGGATTATTAAATGGTTCAAAATTCCACCTTCTGTTTCTCTGAATACTTTTTGGGAAGCTGCTGGTTGGTAAGAATCACACTGATGTGTCATTTTTAAAAAATTGTGGTTTAAATGAAATCATGCCATATGTATTTTTAAGTGTTCAAGGATTTTAAGATTTAAATTTACTTATTCACTGATTTTGTTTTTAATTCATAAAAGGTAGTAATAGAATATGAACCCAATTATAGGACTTTAACTTGGCCCAGTTCCCTAGATTTCTAAGCCCTAATTAAAAAAAAAATTTTTTTTTAAAGTTCAGTTGACGCTTTCCTATGTCTTGGGAAATTTGGCTAACAGTGTATGGGAGTTTGTAGTTACTAAGCATCAAAGGATATTGAAAAATATCTCCATGGCATCATCATTTACATGGCATACGACATGGGAGGCCTGTTAGATTTATGAATTCGTTTCAGACAAGACATTGGAAAATTTATGTAAAAAGACTGGCCAACTCTATCAATAAATGATTGCTAAGTGTCATTATTCAGTGAACGAAAGAGCATATGTTAGTACTTCTGACAATAAGCCTTATTCTCAGAATATTGATTGCTGTTTCTGCAGGCAGATTTTCAAGGCATAATATTCAAAAGCTTACTACTTCTTCACGTATATTCATGTATTTTGGGGACTTTAACTTTAGCCTAGCTCTTTCCCCATTTTTAATTTCTTACTTTTTCATTTCAAGTTAGAGGAAAATCTATCAAGTTTTCTTTTCTTTCTTTTTCAAATATATTACTTTCCATAATTGTGTTTCGTTCCAAGGAGTGATTTCATGACATTTTGATTTAAATGATCAGTCTCGCGGTAATATCTCCACAAGTGACGTGTGCCTTCCTTCCATTTTACAGTTACTTTTTCACACAAATATCTTTTTCTGATTACTTTAAATTTTAAACATAATTTTACCAGAATTAATATACTAATCCATTTCCCGAGCAACAATTTTATTGTTTTTTAAATTTTAATGTCACTAAAATTACATATTTAAAACTTTCTATTTTTTTAATGCAGCAAATTACTGAATTCTAATTATGTCAGGTAATGTTTTAAGCACTAGGGATGAAGCAGTGAAAACAACAGACAAAATTCCCTTACCTCATGGAGTTTGCATTCTGGTGTGGGAACACAGACCACAAATAAAGAAAAGAATGGCATGCAAAAGGTTCCAGCAACACCACAAGTGTCTCCTGGTGTGTCCTGGAACTCCTTAGGCAAAGGATGGACAGGATACACTCGGCTGTTGTTCTCCAGGCATCCAGAAGAGGGGGGTTGGGCCAGGCACAGCTGGCTGCCCTGGATTACCCTCGAGGAAAGGGACCATCCTGCTGTAGTCCACACATATGTTGGAGCTCCAGAGGACCCCTAACTGAGCAACAATGGGCACTTTTGCAGTCATGAGAGTGGCTGCGAGGGAGAAAAACATTTTGGAACTGGACACAGCTATGCTGATAGCATTTGGAGACCTTTTGAGAAGCCAAGATTGTGTACAGCTTCTTGCACTGGAGGTTCTGCAGCCATTGGTCCCAGTTAGCTCTTGCAGGCAACTTAGCACCACGAGGGGTTGTTCAGTGAGCAAACCTATTTGACTTTCTTCAGTCTGCCCCCCGACCCAGGAGCCTAATTAAACATAAGGCGTTCTATCAGTGACATGAATTAATGGGCCTATCAATATTAAACATTAGAAGAAAGAGAGTTGTTTATCCATTGACCTCCTCCTACTTTCTGGGGTCGGACATGTTCATTCCTCACCAATCAGGGTCTACCATCTATGCCTGGGGTGAACCAAATTATCTCTCCTTTTCCCAGAGTAAAAAACTTCCCAGAGACTCAGAAGTTGCTATTCTGCCATTGCAAGAAACTTTCAGGGGTAGAGAAGGATGGCTCTAGAATCACCCAATGCAAAGTTAGTGAACACATTCCTGCTCATTCCAGGTTGTCTAAGAAACAGCAGCAGCGGTCACAATGAGTGAACCCAACAGTCGTCACTTTTGCTAGACCCAAAGGAACAGCAGTCACAGTCTAGTCAAAGAGGCCTCTGGGGCTTCAGTATCTCCAGGGAGAGTCCTCTCCAGGGGGGCTGCTAATCCCAATCTTCCAGATTAATGACTGCTGGGGTTTCTCTGCTGTTACTTCCCCTTGTATTCTATCCCAGCAAATCTCTTAGGTCCATTCTGGATTTTCACATCAACCCATCAGTTCTATTTTGTTTGCTTATTTTCAAGCCTCATAGTTTGTAATACTCTTGTTTTATACAGTCAGCGTTCATGTAAACTGATAGCATAGGCATAATAGGTTCGAACGGCCTACTGGTGAGTCTGGAGGGACGATAGAGAGGAGGGAGCATTTGCGGTAAGGCTTCAAGGACGGAGAAGCGGGGAAGAAAGACACTCTTGACGGTGGTGTCATGGAAGAATAAAACAGTGTGGCATGTTCAGGCCATGGTGGGAGGTTTTGTGTGGCTAGGACTGTGTAAGGATAGTAGGAGAAAACTTGCGAGAGGAGTACTGAAACAGGAGTCTCAATCATATATGGCATTTCCTGACCTATTTTATGGGGAGAAGCATAGCAGGTCATAGGTGACCTACTTATGTCTATAATTTTAAAGTCTCTTAAATAACCCATTCATTTTTATATTTAATGACGGTAATAATGATACTTATATCTTTTATTTCCATGTCTTCAAATCGTTTCCTTCTATCCATTACCTAATTTCATCCTGATAGTGTCTGAGTGACACAGATTGGAATATATCCTAATTTTCTAATATTTAAAGATGAGGAAACTGAGGTATCAAGAGATTACATGATCTACATGTCTAATCGAACAGCAAATAGCCATGTTTAGAGTAATGCCAGATCTTCAGATTTTTAATTCCATATACTTCTTGGATTTTATTTGTGTCTACATATGCTTTTTGTCTTTTCCCCCCTCAAATTCTTGTGTTTTTCTTTCCTCCATAGGACTTAGCTTTCACCCTGGAGGAGAGACAGCAGTTGAACATTCATGGGTTGTTGCCGCCTTCCTTCATCAGTCAAGATATCCAGGTCCTTAGAGTCATTAAGAATGTGGAACGTCTGAACTCGGACTTTGACAGGTAACCTATTCCTGAAGGTGGCTTTTATATTTCTCGTAGGCAGTTGTCTAGTTTGTTTTTCAGTGGATGAGAGAGTTAAAATATTTGGTGATTTTGAAAGAGGAATCAACTTTGAAGAGAAATTGTCTGTAAATATAGTGATGATTTAAAAAACTTTACCCTTGGTAGGAACATTTGAATAAAATAAAATTTTCTAAACTACAACCTCAGAGAGGCTACTTTTCTCTTGTGATAAAATCGTTGCTATAAAGGTGAATTATCAGGAAATGTCATCCTTGACAGAGCAAAACAGGTTAAAGGGGTTTTTAGTCAGACTTTAAGTATATTGTAGTGAAAGAACACTTTTTCAACTTCCAAGCTTGGTTCTTACTTTGTTTAGAATTCAGTTTCTGTTTGCATGAAGATGAAGGTGACATTGTTCCCTACCTTTGGAATTAGCCCCGGGTTGGAATTCTGGCTGTATCTCACCAGCGTTGGGGCCTTGAGCAAACCATGACAACTATTGCAATGACACTGTATGTGCCTCGCCCTCTGCTTTTGACTCTGCCCTTTGTTAGTAAGCTGCTGAACCTCTCCAAACCTCAGGCTTTTCATTTGTGGATTGAAGAGAATAATTGTTATTTGAAAATATTCTTGCAAAGGTTAGAAGGTATAGCTAACCCAATACCTAATGAGTATTTGTATTAGTCAGGATTCTCCAGAGAAACAGAATCAACAGGATGTACACGTGTACACACCCTGTTGGTTGTGTATAAGTACAGATACAGATAGATAGATTGATTGATTTTAAGGAATTGGCTCACGTGACTATGGAGGCTGATGAGTCCTAAATCTGTAGGTAGGCTGGCAGGCTGGAGACCAAGGGAAGAGTTGCAGTTTGAGTCCGAAGGCAGTCTGCTGGCAGAATTCCTTCTTGCTGGGGGGTTCAAGAGAATAATAATAATAATCATGGAGTAGCAATGTAGTTTCCCCTTGGTAGTTAGAATCAGTCACCCCAGCCAGCACAGTAATTCCTTTCTTTGCCTGTTGATTCGGAGGCATGTGGTGCCCAAAGTGGCTAGTCTTAACTTTCAGTTCAGCAGAATCATGTTTCCCGGGGGAAACTTTCCTCCCTTTCAAACTAAAACTTCTAGGTTAACAGAGCATAAGGTCTCAGGGACAAGAAGCAGAAATTTTTCTAGTCAGTTACCAGGAGTAATAGTGAGTAGTGCCACTTCCAGTTCTACCCCTGGTTCCTGGACCTGTGAACCCTGGCTATGGGAGATTATATTGGACACTGATTCAGAGCATATATAGCCTCCTGGAGAACCTTGCCCAGCTTTGCAAGGTGTTGCCCCCTGGTGTTGTAACTGAGTCTTCAGAAGGCCATTCCGCCATTCTGTCAAGCCAGCTGCTTCAGAATGGTGGGGAACAGGGTAAGACAAGTGAATTCCCTGAGGATGGGCCCATTACCACACTTCATTTGCTCTGAAGTGAGTTCCTTGATCAGAGCAATGCTATGTGGAATACCGTAATGGCGGATAAGGCATTCTGTAAGTCCTCAGATGGTAGTTTTGGCAGTAGCGTTGTGTGCAGGGAAAGCAAATCTGCATCCAGAGTAAATGTCTGTCTATTCCAGTAAGAACAAACATGCCCCTGCCATGGTGGAAGCAGGCCAATGTAAGCAGCTGCCACCAGGGAGCTTGCTGATCACCGCATGGAATGGTGTCACATTTGACACTTGGTGTTGGTCCCTGCTGCTGGCAAACTGAGCTTTAGCAGTGTCCATAGCCAGGTCAGCCTTGGTGAGTGGAAGTCTGTGTTGCTGAGCCCGTGGATAACCTCTGTCCCTGCCAAGGCTACTTTTTATTTTTTTGCTGAGGAAGACTTGCCCTGAGCTAACGTCTATTGCCAATCTGCCTCTTTTTTTTTTCACTTGAGGAAGATAGCCCTGAGCTAGCATCTGTGCCACTCTTCCTCCACTTTATGTGGGTTGTCGCCACAACATGGCTAATGAGTGGTGTAGGTCCCTACCTGGGATCTGAACCCACGAACCTGGGCTGCCAAAGTGGCGTGTGCCAAACTTAACCACTATGCCGCAGGGCTGGCCTCCATGGTGACTTTTTTCCTGAGCACATGGGTCATGACAGGGGCAGGTGGGGAAAGAGGCTGATTCAGTTTGTCTGCTGTATATGTTTGCTTCTTCTTGAACTCCTTCACAATCCATGTCACTTGTTCCTTAAGTCCTTCCTTCAGCCTCTCATGCTTTTACTTTATATTCTTTTCCTGGGCCATTTTATCAGCTGCCTCCTAAGAGCTGTGACTTTCATGTTTTTGCCACAGTCTGTTCCTCAGGGATTTCTTGAGCATCAGCTGAATGTCAGGTGTTTTTTTATGTATTGGGATTATAAACAATGATCTCTGCCCTCACGGAACTTAGGTAATATTTTGAAAAATTATTAAAAAATACTAAATAGTACAATAATAAGTAAATTATTTAATATGCTAGAAAGTGACAGGTACAAATAAAAAAAGAAAATGTTGAGTAGGATGAGAGGGACTGAGAATGCTGAGGGTGGTGTGGTCAGTGCATTGTTAAAGTGGGTGATAAGGATGGACTTCATTGAGAAGGTGACTTATGAGCAAATAATCAAAAATAGTGAAGCAGTTAGCCATGAAGAAACGTGAGGAGCAGCGTTCTTTAGTTGGTATCTTCAAGAATCGGCAGGGAGACCTGTGTCTGGAGCAGGAGCCAGGGAAGAATGGTGGGTTGGGAGAGGAAGTTAGCGAGGTAATGGAGGACAGGTTATGTATAGCTTTGGAGGGCACTAGAGACTTTTGCTTTTACTCTGAGTGAGAAGAAGAGCCATTCAAGGTTATGAACACAAGATCAGCATGATCTGAGCTATGTTTCAAGAATTCTGGCTGCAATGCTGAGAATGGAGTGTAGGCTGGAAGAATTTTTAGGAGACTGTGACAATAATCCAGGCAAGAGATGATGGGGATTTAAATCTAGGGTGATAGCAATGAAGGCGTTCAGATTTCGCATGTATGTTGAAGGTAAAGCTGAGATAATTTCCTAATATATTAGAGAGGAGTGTTAGAGAGCTTTCAAAGAAGAGGAGAAAACAGCAAAGAAACAGAAAGGAATGACTGGTGAGATAGAAGGAAAACCAAGAGAATATGATGGTGTGGAAGTAAGTAAAGAGTGTATTGAGCTCTAGGGAAATGCCACCTGCATCAGATGTTCTGATGCGTAAAATAAGATGTGGTCTGAGAATCGATCATTGTGGAAGTCATCTTCGCTAAATCAATTTTAGCAGGTCCAAAAGTCTTTGTCTTCTTCCCAAATGTTAAATTTTTGGGTTCGTATACCTTATCTACTTGCCAAGCCTTAGAATCCTTGTATCTCTGACTCCACAGTCTGAGCATTTTCAACTATTCCAGGAAATGGAAATTGATCCAAAAAGGCTGGTAAGATTGTTAAGTACAATTTTGCAAGATTCTTTTAAGTTGTACAGCAGTTTGAGTTTTATTCTATAAACCATTGAAGGTTACAGGTAACATGATAAGGTTAATGTTTAGAAAGATAACTCTGGGTCAGAAATGCCTCTAGAAAGAAAAAGGCTGTTTCATACAAATAATGAGTCCCTTGAACTTGCCCCCCTTAGTAATTTTTAGGGTCGGTGCCACATTCCATACTCATTTTCGGCCTGTTATTTCCTTTGGTTATTGAGCAAGTTACAGGATGAAGTCTTTCTATTTACTTAAGTTAATGGATCAACTATATCTACAGTAGTGTTTTCCTCTGTCTTTCACTTTAAAATAGAGTTAAAGTCTTTTCAAATATTAAATGAAACTACAGTATTTCAGCAATGATTTTAACATTTGAATGATACTAGCTGGGGTATGTGGTTCTTCATTCTTCAAGGTGTTTAAGAATATTTCTAGTCTTTTTTGATCAGATGTTTTCTATGTGACCTGAAAAATACTTCATACTGTGTTGAAAAATGTTTAGATTTCTAAGCAACTATTTCATAACTTTGCATTTAGGTCTAATTACATCCATCTCCACAGGTATCTTCTCTTAATGGATCTTCAAGATACAAATGAAAAGCTCTTTTACAGAGTGCTAATGTCTGACATTGAGAAATTCATGCCTATCGTTTATACCCCCACCGTGGGTCTGGCTTGCCAGCAATATAGTTTAGTATTTCGGAAGCCCAGGTATGTAAACTTTTATTTTAAATACAACTTGTTGTGTCTTTATTTATTTATTTTTTTGTAGTTTTTGAAATAATTAAAAAAATTATTGAATGAAATTGAACTTTGGAAAAATCTAAATCAAACTTCATTTGAAAGAACATTAACTATAAATATGTAACATTAAAAAGTATAGTATTTTCTTTCTAGATTTAAGATCGTGGGGAAGTACTTATTTATAAGCCAATTTAGATTTCCTTTTACAGACAATAAATTAACTTGTTTTTTGTCTGGAAAGAAAGTAATTGATCATAATTAAGCTTGTCTTTGAGATGTTAATTACCACTGTTATGTATACATTTTACAAGTTAAAACAAAGATTCCAAATTTTTCTGAAAATGAGTATATTATTTTCTAAATTCAGAGTTGGCATTAAAGTAGTTCTTTTGTTGCTTTCCTTTAAGTGAAATAGTAGTCACCTATAAAGATATATGAAGTATAGAATATAATTTTTCTAAATCCGTAGCTTTACATTATTCATCATATTACTTTAAATACTTTTGAAGCAAGGAACAATTGAAATAAATAAATATTAATACTTTTAACAGTAGCAACAACAAAAGCTCAAGTTGAATATATTTCTGCTAGTTCTGAAATTAAAGATAGAAAAGAAATGTTTATAAGTTTATACCACGAATTTAAAAACCTATTGAAAGTGCCATCATTGAAAGGAATATTTCTTTGAAATGTTTATGGAAATTCTAACTTTTCTATGAGCTTCTGAGAAATCCTAACAACCACAAGAAATGTAGAAGAGCTTAGCTCAAAGCATTTGGGTTGAAGTTAACGTAGCAATCTCAATAGCAACAATTATTTTTTGAGCACTTACTATGTACTAGATGATTTTCTAAAGGCTTGGCATACATTGATGTACATATAAATCTAAGAGCAGAGGGGACAGACAGGGAAATAAACAGTAAGTAAATTGTCTAGAATGTTCAAAGATAATAAGCGTTATGGAGAAAGAAAGAGTGGGGCAGGAATAGGAGGACCCAGAGTGTCAGTTGCCTTGTGGGGGGCGGGGGGGCAGTTGCAATTTGAAAGAGTGGACAGTGTAGGCCTCATTGGAAGGTGGTATTAGAGGAGTGAGAAGGGGTCATGTAGACACAAGGGGAAACGTGCCAGGCAGGAGGAATGGCCGTGCCAAGGCCGGACATGAGAATGTGCCCGGAGATGGAGAGCTACTGAGAGACCAGTGTGGCTGGAGTGGAGCCGGAGGAGGTGGAGTAGGAGGTGAGGTCACAGGTGCAAGATGAACGGGAGGGGACAGAACCTGTGGTTTTTGCAGGCTATTTTAAAGAACCGTGGCTTTTCCTGTTAGTTAAATGGGTAGAAGAATCAGGTAGGCTGGTTGGCAGTGAGAGATGATGGTGGCTCAGAGTGGGAGGGTAGCAGTGGAATTAGGGGTAAGAGTTCAGATTCTGGATAAAGATAAAGAAATCACGAGGATTTCCTGTTGGATTGGAGGCTTCCTAGAGCAGTGGTTAAGAGTATTGACTCTGGAGTGGATTACCTTTTACTTAGTTTTACCACTTGTTTTAGTTTTGAATAAATTATTTAATCTTTCTGTGCTTCAGTTTCCTCCTCTGTAACATGGGGATAATACTAAAGCCCACCATCCTTTATCCACCTTTTTTTTTTTTTGCTGAGGAAGATTTGCCCAGAGCTAACCTCCTTGCCAATCTTCCTCTGTTTTTTAGTATGTGTGCTGCCAGCACAGCATGGCTGCTAACAGAGCAGTGTAGGTCCATGTCCGGGAACTGAACCCTGGGCCACCAAAGTAGACTGTGCTGAACTTCACCACTAGGCCACTGGGGCTGGCCCTATCCACATTTTTAAAATCTGAAACTTTGAAAACCAAAACATTTGAAAAATCTCATTTGGGACAAAACCTGGTCTATCTGAACCCATTTGGTGGCAAAACTTGAACTAATTCACATGAGGATATTTTATAGTATTTATCTGATTGTATCATTTGTTTTTTTAAGAAGTATTAATATATTTGATTACAGGGGCGTTGTCAGAAATAAATAAGTTAGATAGATAAAGGAGAGAAGGGAGTGGGAACAGGTGAGGCAGAAGGTAGCAGAGCGTTTGTAGCAAAATGCTCACAAATGTTGAAACTAGGTGGAGGTATTCTTTCAACTTTTCCGCTGTATTTGAAATTTGAGTAAAGGAATGCTTTGTTAACAGAGAAAGTAAAATTTCTAAAACCATTTATCTATGATCTCTTTATGACAGTTTTCTTCATGTTGATTTTGTGTGTGTGTTTGTGTGTGTGTGAGGAAGATTTTCCCTGAACTAACATCCGTTGCCAATCCTCCTCTTTTTTTGCTTGAGGAAGATTTGCCCTGAGCTAACATCTCTTGTCAATCCTCTTCTTTTTTTGCTTGAGGAAGATTAGCCCTGGGCTAACATCTGTGCCAGTCTTCCTCTATTTTTTTGTATGTGGGGTGCCTCCACAGCATAGCGAACGAGTGGAGTAGGTCTGCACCTGAGATCGGAATCTGCGAACGCAGGCTGCCTAAGTGGAGTACACGAAACTCTAACCGCTTGGCCACAGGGCCACCCCCCTTCATGTTGATTTTTAACATGTATACTTTATTAACCTTTTGATGACCTTGAAGTTTCTTTTTGTTTGTTTTGCTTTTTTTTTTGCTGAGGAAGGTTTGTCGTGAGGTAACATCTGTTGCCAATCTTCCTCTTTTTGTATATGAGCTGCTGCCGTAGCATGGCCACTGACAAGTGGTGTGGGTTTGCACCCAGGAACTGAATCCGGGCCACCAAAGCAAAGTGCACCAAACTTAACCACTAGGCCACCAGGGCTGGCCCTGGAAGTTCTTTAGCAGAGCAATTCTCATGGCTTCTCCCATGATTGTAAAAAAAGGAACTTGTGTGAAAATGTATGTGGCATATATTTAGACATTGTATTTAATTAGAAAAGAAATTGTGATTGCGTTTGAGTAATGTTGGATCCTTCAGGCATCAGTTAACACATAGGTATTCTTTGTTTTTTTAAGCCAAAGTTGACAAATGTCTATTAAACCTCTCCTACTGCAACAGCAGGCATTCTAAGACATTCAGGCAGTGAGCAGGAGGATGATCCCTCTTACTATATTTGCTTTATGGATTTGGCAGTAGCAGTTAGGGACGTAATTAGTGAAAGTGGTGGGTTAATACAATACTGAGCTTACTGTAGCTGCAAACACGTGTATCTTTTGATCTCATACTTTTTCATTTATCTTAATCATATGATACTTTTCTGTAGATAGATATTTATTTTTCATTTGGGATATGGCGTTAAAATCTGGCTAGGTATCCAAAAATGAATTCTTATATGAATAACTCTACTTCCAAAATATTTTTCCTAAGGTATGATGCTGGAATATCCATTTATTGGTTTTGTGTGGAATTTCTTTTCTCTTTGGCATAGATACTTTGTGTAGGTTTTTCAAGATGTCGTGGATAATGATTTTTAAGAATGTTGTTGAATTCGCTTGGAATAACTCATTCCCATGTGCCCATAATATTTTAATTCTTGCAGAATTTCCAATATTTGGTAGTACAATATGTTTACGTCAGCACAACTAATTGTGGCTAATTTGTAGATAGAGGTATGATTTTTGGAAGCTAGAGACAATTCTTTTTGTATTTTTGTAGAGCCCTGAGCCTATTGTGTTACTTAAATTACTTGCATTCTGTGAAACATTTTTTTAAAAGAAAACTTTTGTGCAAATTGATAATGCAGGTAGGTGTAGAGGACAGCTAAAGCAGATTTACGTCATTTCTTTGGAAGTATTTCTTCCTGCTATATTTTACACTACATTTTCCAAGAATCTCTCCCTCTCTCATGAGTTCTTATTAACTACGTATTATTTTACCATGCCCTTGGTATTAATCACGTGCCTACGTTTGATATTTCTAATGTTCTATCAAAGTACTCTTAGTCTCTTTTTAAAATTTTTTTGAGGCATAATTGACAGATAATATTATATTAGTTTCAGGTGTACAGCATGCTGATTTGATATTTGTATATATTGCAAAATGATCACCACAATAACTCTAGTTAACATCTATCACTATACATAGTTACAAAAATTATTTTTCTTGTGATGAGAACTTTGAAGATGTCTCTTAGTAACTTTCAAATATGCAATGCAGTGTTATTGACTATGGTCACCAGGCTGTGTATTACATCCCCATGACTTATTTATTTTGTAACTGGAAATTTATACCTTTTGACTCCCATCACCTACTTTGCTCATCCCGCACTCCCCACCTCTGGCAACTACCAATCTGATCTCTATATCTGTGGGTTCAGTTTTTGTTTCCCTTGTTGTCTTTTGTCGGCATTTTGTTATTCATTTACTCCCAACTAGATTGTAAACATCTAGAGAGAAGGCATCATATTTTATAAATTATTCCTGTATTTCCCATGGTGTTTAAACTTGGAGCCTGGTTGGTGCTGAATTAATATATGTTTGCTACCTCATAGAAATAGTAACTTAATATTACTCTATTCAGCCACTCACATAGAATCAAGCTGTAAGGAAGTAAAATTTAGATTAAATATAGACAATAAAACTTTACACTCATATTATGCTCCTTTCATCTACTCATCTTTATGGAGTAGGTCACTGATAGGATTTTGGCAAAAAGGATTAGCTAATGAAACAGTTTGTTGATGATAGTTTTTTAAAAAAGCATTCCCCAGTTCTGATCTGACTAGTACCATTATTGATTTGCCAAAAGCTAAGGTGAAAAAAGAATTCAGTGCTCAACTTAATTGAAGAAAACCTGAATTAAATAAAATTAAACAGGATTCTTTGCTGTAAGAGTTCTCAGAATAATACCTATTTTGCAAGATTTTTGGAGGATGGGATTAGATTTAATATAGATGATATATGTAGCATGACTCTTGGTACAAAGTAGCTGTTCCCAAGGAGTGGTTATTACAACTGATA